AGTGTATATAAGTAGCCTCTGCATTGGACAAGGTTTGCTTTCGGAACCCTTGCGAAAAGCCTTGGGTAATGAGGTGATGACTTTAGAGATTCTCATAAGCTATGTGTTCACAGTCAAACAAGTGCGACATGACTGAGCTGAGCTAGAGCCTAATTTCACCATTGTTAAACTACACTAGAATATCCTCGCCAATCCTAGGAGATAGGCATCGCTATTGCGACCCGGGTATTGTGCACCACAGAAGCACGAGTGCCGATATACGATCACTGAACTGGTCAAGGAAGGCAGTTTATTTTTAACGGGTTTTGTGAGTAGTGGCATGTTGTGATAATTCTCAAGCTGTCCGGGAAATAAGATTTTTCAACAGCATATTTCAGATGTCGAGATAATATATCAGGTACATAATCGCCCTTAAATGGTAAGTATCTGAAAAGCTCTTTCTTAGGATTACGGCTCCCAGTTGGCTACTATTTCGTTCCTTCAAATGCATCATGATAATTTTGTCAGGGTAAATATTTTCCCTAAGGGCGTCTCTGCTTCACTATAGCATTTTGTTGAAGTATCCGAAGTGCTAATACTGCGCGCCCTAAGGATGAGAGATCGATTAAAACTCCTCTTATGCAGTAAAGTTATTGCGCTGTGAAAGGTTGATTACTGCGCACTTTATGTATGCTTTCCGTATACGTTTCTGCTACATGATCAGTCCGATTTACGGATAACTTCTACATACAGGAAATATAACCGATTTCCAAATTCGTGCTCACAAATGAAGTGTATATACTCATGTGCATCATCAAAGGCCTTTAGAGCCTGCACCACATGCTTTCCGGCTTCGCAAACTATGAAGGGGTCGGCAACATATCGTACATACATTTCAGTCCCACCGACGTGCGTTCTAAATAGGCCACATGCTGATTTCGTCACAACGCTTTCAAAGTAAATCCTATGGCTTCTCCATCACTTTGACGGTATATTTCACCACTGAAGTGAAAATAAAAATTCAAAGTGAGCGAGGCAGTACCTTCTATAGTAATTCCTCCGGAAAAGTTGTTTATATTGCCAGTTACCGAGTCAACTCGCACACGTTTTCCACAGTTTCTAAAAGTGGTATGTTTGTAAGCAAGAATCAATTAAGAATCAACTGCTTTTCTTCTGTTGTTAGCAAGGTTGATATTCGACATATTCTCATTGAATTCGAAGGTGTCTCTTACCTAGTCATTGCAAACTATATTCCATAACGGCTGCAACTTCTTAGCCATCTAGTTGGACAACAAATGCTATGGATAACCCAACATGTCCCAGCTTAGAAGCATACAACGCCTTCCTTGTGAAGTTCAGGAACAACAAATAACCTCGGTATCGTTTCTTCCGAAGGGTTCAGCTTTGCAAATTCGATCCTTCAGATATATTTAGTCTGCACAATTCGCCTGGGAGAGCCAGATAACTGTTGCTCTAACTCTCTTGTGTTGTCTTTTCGAGCTATGACTTACTGGGACATAGGTTCGTCACTGAAGTTGTGTTGCAGTTTACAGAAATAATCCGCCCTATCCAGTAGCAATATGCTAAACCCCTTGTCTGACTCACAGATCACTAATTCGTTGTTTAATCGTAACTCACCAAGTGGTTGAATTTGCTCCCTTTTACTTGGACCTTCGGTTAATCTTTCAGCCTCAATGTGTTCATGACAACTATTTACAAGACTTGAATTTAAGATCTCAACGTCATTATGAGGTTAGGAACAGGCATATAGCCTGTGCCATTAGGCACTCAGACTGCACAGCTAATGCTGCCTGATTTATTTTCTTACATGGAATGCATTACTTGGAATCTAATTTTGATACGTCCAGCTGTATCTGGATTAGTACCATATTTAAAAGCTCATATACCGGATTATTCTGAAAGGTCAATTGTGGGATCTGGTTAGTAAGTTCACTAATGTGTTACCTTTTTACTTACACCAGTATTCAGTTTAGCGAGTTTCACCTGTCACACAAAAAGCTGTCTCAGAGCATTAGGCGAGGTTAACACCATTGGAAAGAAATAGACTTGAGACAGTAGAGCGTACCAGGTTTTGGATAGCCAAATAGAAAACATTTTGTCGCCAATCAAATAGACTGTGTTGTGTAGCCAGTTTGAGCCGATACCCCTCCCAACTGTAATCTTGCCTGACTTTCAACCGATCGCGACAAGTATCATTTGGGCTAGCCATTATTTGGTACACCGTAATAAGGTTTCATCGTAAGTGCCGATCATCCCCGCTTTACAAGCCTTGGGCTGGCAGTCTACGTTGGCAGGCGAAGTGAAACAGTTCTCTAGGGATCTTCGCCGTCCTACGTTGTAGAGCTTTAATCGCAACAGCATCGTGCTTCTCTAAGGTCAGCAGGCCTGGATCGCGTACTGCACGTGTGGCCTGACGCAGGCATTCAGCATTTAGTGAATAATGAACAACGCATTTATACGGGTTAAGAGGCTTTGCTTTACAAGTCCCGCTGGATAGTTGGTGGGGGTAACAAAGTAACAATAATGATAAGAATGATGGTAAAACAGTTAATACTTTAACTATGAAAATAAGGATTTACTGTTTGTTCCGCCGTAGTCCTGCAATCCGCTTAGATTCACAGCACCCGCATTTAACATCAAATAATTCCATGGTAAACTCCAGGTGTAGGATGGAGACGTAGTGCTAATTGGCAAAGTGTAAGTGGATGAGTACATCATCCAAGACGCTTTTAAATACTGTTAATTTCGGTGCAGGTACGACCGATTCTGCGAGAGCATTCCACGGGTGACAGACACGAATGGAAAAGAAATTTCTGTGGCACTCCAGGCAGCTATACGCTGCAGCGATTTTCAATGAGTGGCCCCTCAGGTTTGTATTGCTGCTGTGTTGCACTAAAGGGCGGCACACATGATGTGCGTCGTAGAGAATCGAGTGTGCCATAATCAGGTTGCCTCGTAGTCTGGGATAGCTTCCACTGAATACCCCTAATCGTTGCAGCCTCCCCTTGTATGAAAGCTTGCGAATTCCAGTTACATTCTTAGATGCCCGAAGTTGTGGCTGCTCCAGTGCAATAAGGTCGTGTTTCAACCATTGATGCCGGGCTTGAATTGCGCGTTTGGCATGGGGGCGTACATCCGCTTTGAGAATTTGTCGAAATATGAAGCTGTTTATTTGTTCAAACGCCGGTCGCAACAGCCCAAAGTGTCGGTTCCAAGTCTTCGAGGCGTTTTCGGATTGCTTGGAGCAACCCAAGTCATCTTGAACCAGGACACCCAACTCACGTTCGAGAGTGGTACAACTGATGACTCGAACTTCCCGAACGACCTACGTAAGTGGCTAAGGCGGCGACTGGTTATTCTCGATGCTTTCCCAACATGTTTCGCGCAGCCAAGTTCGTCGTGCACAACTGACCCGAGGTCGTTTATATATGTAGCATGTTGTAGCTTCTGCTCTTCCAACCAATATTCCTGGTTGCATGGAGGTCGTATGCTCAGAACTTTTCATTTGGCCAAGTTAAACTAGAACCAGTTTTCGGATGACATCGAAATATCGCTTCAGTGTCGCTTGGTCATCTGCGGTCTTGATGTTATGCTAACTATTGGCAGCAAGTAGTAAGAAGTTGAACAATCAACAATCAACAATGATTTATCATGGGATACAAGCAACTGCTTGGTACGTCCCGTAGGATGGTTGGGGTGAATACGATGAACTCAAAATATATGTGGGTCATCTAACGAGCGTCTACCTAAGTGAATACTTTGATAAATAACGTCAGAGTGAAAATTAAAATAATCGCGTGTTAGCGTGCATTAAATACATGGGGTGCAGTGAGCGTTGATACTAGGGGTGAGAAAAGGAAAGTATGGTCACTCACTTGGGTCAATTTGATACATAACTGGCGTAGCAAGACATGCTTGGCGTAATTCACAGTAGCGTAGTTTAGGTAACAAATTGCTGGGAGCTAGAAGCAAATTCTAATCGTTTTTTGAAAATATCCAAAGTAGGGGAGGATACAACTGAGTCTGGGAGTAGTTTCCAGGGCTGGAAAACCAGAAGGGAAAGGTAATTACACTCGAGACGACCATATCGTTCTCATGATTTCACACAGTTACCCCTGAGCTGCGTGTCGTAGTTAGCTTTCAGCAAGTGGCGGCATACGTGGTCGGGGTCACTCAATATTCGGTAGACTATTATGAGGTCGCTGCACAGCCTACGGTAGCGACCCACGTTGCAATATTGTTCAAAAATTGCTCAAAAAGTTCCACCGCATTGCATTGGAATAAGTACAGGGAACATTCACAAAACTCCTCCTGACTGCTTCGTCAAAACTACAATATTCTGAATGATGTGATGAGCTCAAGCTTGATCTGCTCTGGCTACATTGTATGAAGCATAAGCTATTTATATTCTCTCACATTCTGCACAGAGAAATTCATGTCACCTTCTACATGACATTAATGCCATCAACACGAAACAAGCAGTACTCAGTGACGGGATGCAAATCTAAGACCAGCAGGTATGCCAACTTTTCCTTATCCCATACACCAGAGTCTGAAACGAGCAACCACTTGGGATACCTGGCTGCACTGTTGATCACGAATCTAGCAAATGTTTCATCATGTTATTGACTGTACAGAACGTGGTCAAACTGTTTGATTTTCTCTAACAGCAAGCCAAGCGTACGAGCAGCGTCCAAATCTCGTATGTCTCAGTACATGTTTCGCCACCTATGATTTAGCTGCTTCATATGTCAGAGAACGATCAAACGCCAGTCAACATCATCCCGATTCAATAAAAGCATTTATTATGCCTTTGCTGCCCTTAAAAATGTCATTATCTGAACTGATATTCAATTTTCCCGATCCACTCGTGATAAACGTTCTACAAATTTAGACACTTACCCGAGCAAACCGGTACAAATGTGTCTCACATGGTCGAGTGCCATAGTTAGTTTATTCATTTACGTAAACGTGGCCCTCTCATTTCATCTACATTCCAGATATCTATCAAAACTACCTATATCCACACTATTTCAGTGTGTGCAAAGGCCGCCCAATCAGTTTGCATCGTATGTCGTATTTTGATCAAAACATTTCGGAAACCCGAACCGGTTGCATACACTTCTTCTTGAGTGAGTTGTCCTTTGTCACATAACCAACCGTTCTACTCATCTGCTTTACACACTTTCCTTACAAACATGATGCTAAAGTCAGCACCCACAGCATCACTTCCTTATTGGACGCTTATCGAGGATGAGAAAACAAGTAATCCCAGAATGAAATGGCCAAATATCTCATATCCACCTCCCAGCCGATCGGCTTCACCTACCAACAGACACTTGTAAAGTATGCTGTAGGTGTCTAGACGGTCGGTGTTTATGAGACATTTGGAGTTTAGTGACGATTAAACAAGGACATTTCGACTTTAACTACCGCATCTTACCAAGATATTAAGCAATTAAAGTTATTCACATTGAGCTCACAAAAATAATAGTGTAATGGAAGAATGCAACTGTGTCCCGGTTCTAATTCATAAATTTGTAGCAAATTCATCGAGCAGCTACGAACAATCCAGCTAACCCTGTAATTTGATTTCGTCGTTCAGAGGAAGCATTTAATCTGCGAAACAAATGTCGGAAAATAGATCTTCGTGGTTGTGTTGTCCAGCAAGTAGGCTGAACAGTTGCTAACATATTTGTAGCATATATTAATAAACAGTATCAAGTTATCATGCATAGCATCGCGGTTGCAGGCCTAAAGGTGCATGCGGTTTGATGTGCATTAGAAAATGCCACATTTTTATTGACTGAAGCAATTTCTTTGAGCGCAATTGGTAAAAATTAACTAGATTTGATAAATTGAGTGATTTGTTTGCGTGATTGTATGTGGCAGGGAAGTTATCTCAAAGGCTGCATTCGTATGTACATCTTGTTTGATAACTAAAATAATATACAATGATAAGCCTGTATTCAGTGGTACTTATTGCAGATGTTTCATTAAAACTGTGCGGCAGTACTACTTTTGTATTTTATGTTGTGTTGGCCGTCATTTAATTACAACAAGTATATAAAGGTACCACCACACGAAAGCATTATCATTATCCGGTAAACTTCCGATGGCTGAAGCTGAGTAACAGTGCTATTCCAATGCCAACATCTGTGCGTATGTTAGTGTTTACTCGTTACAGTTTACGCAAAATGTTATCAAACTCTTGGTGTACCAGCTTATCCGCGGCGTATTAACCATATTCAGAATACCCATATGAAAATCCAAACTGTTCGTTCCTGCAATCTAGTCTACCAATCAGCGGTCACCACCACAAAGTAGCAGTGTTTTAGCCACAAAATTACCTTGAATTTAGAGGATAAGGTAATCGTTTTAATTATTGTTTTGTTTAATAAGTTATTAAAGGGTTTGTTTGTTGTCCATTCATAACTGATGTTGATCCTTACACTATCATTACGCAAGCAGGCGTTTGGGTAGCTGACACAATGAAAGAATGGAGTTGACTAGGACATCTGGAAATTGTGTGCTGATTTAGAAGTGTAAGTAGCAAATTTCTCAAGTAGGCAATTACAAGTTGGCAATTACAAAAACAATGTGTAAACCCAGTGGCTTTTTACCAAATATCGAAACGAATCCCTAGCGGTAGCACAACAGTGTTGCTCTCATACTCCGCCACAGATTTGTACGGTGAATGTTCAGTATCTCAGAGACGAATGCAGGTGCCAAGCTTGATGGTCTAACCCTGTCCAATACTCCAAACTTCCTGTGATATCCAATAGAGTGTACATCAATAAACGATATGTCATGAGCGCAAGTGGAAATTTAACTATGTACAGCTCCATTGAGATATACTCAAAACTTGAAACTACCATATGCGACTTATCAACATCATGATCGTTTTTAAGATTCTCATGTGATATCGGAAGTGAACGTGTGACTTACAGTAAGTTTGGGACTAGTTTGAGATGCCAACGAGTCATCATTCTGGGGAGGTAACATTGGATAAATACACATTCAATAATGTTTTGAATTGATGCACCGGGTTAACTTCCACCATATGCTTCGGCAAACTGTTCCAGACATTAACCACACGCCGTTCAAAGCGTACTGGATGGGCAAGTCGCTTCAGATCTGAAAGCACAAGCTTGTACTGATGTGCAGCAAAGTGTTCGCAAATGGATCAGAGGTCTCAGTGTGGGAAATGCACTTAGATATAAAATGCGGAGGTCATAGTGAGGTCGGCTCGCTGCGGATGATAGGCTAGGGTGTATAGTCCCAGCCTCTCTCACCTGTCCTCGTACGGTACGCCCGGCAGACTTGGGATGAGACTGGTAGTGACGTGTTGGACTCGTTTAATTTTCTGCAATTTGTCTGGAGTGGCCGGGCGAGACGTACCCAAGCATTGATTTGATGATGCAGGAGAGTGGGTCAGTGGCGGTCTCTTCAGACCAGATACAGTAACTGTGTTTCAGCACCTATAGCATGCACAGTCCGTTTCAGTGTGGCTTGTTCGTGTTGGCCACGGACTCCAAATCGCAACGTTAGAGCACGCCTAGGTCTTTAACGGAAGATGTGGGACGTAAGATTTGGCTGTGAAGAGTACATGCCCGGCCGTCACTACCCTCTCGCAGGCTCATGAATACCGAATTGGATGGGTTGACCAGGAGGCAGAACTCTGCAGACCACATGTTAATGAGGTTGCGATATTGCTTAACTGGACCGAAGTCGTCCGAGATGCTTGTCACTTTCCACATCTTCAGGTAACCTGTAAACCGGGCACATGGGAACCGAAGTAGGCGAGGTGGATCAATGGTACAAAATCAGGTACAATGTGGGACTTAGCGCCGTGCTTTTTCTTATGCTACGGGTCAAAGGAAACCTGTCGGTCAGGTGGATCTCGAATTGCACCCTTCACTTTCGTCCAACGAAAATCTCATGGATTCACTGGTGCAATCAGTCGCCGACACGCGTACTCCCAACTTATGAAGGAAAGTCACATATTTTACATTGTCAAATGCTTTGCTGTAATGGATGTAGATCACATCGACAGAATTCTCCTGGTTCAGTGCTTGGAACCATACATGTTTTGTTATGAGCAGGTATGTGTTACATGAACGGCGTGACATGAAGCTGTGCTAGTAGGGATCCATGACATCTTTCGGCCGGCATCCTTGGCGAAAATAGTTGTCAAAGAAGGGGCCAGTGATTGTCTAAATTGCTGTGACAACAATCTTTCAGAATTGGTCTGTTAGGCTGCCGCAAAGGACGAACGCTATGACACGGTAGCGGAACAGCGCAGTGCAGTGCAGCGCAGTGCTAGTGCCAACTGTGTCCTTCCACACTGTACCATTCTACATTGCGATAAATTCTTGCTTGCGTTTTCGTGGTACCTCACACCACGGTTGTAAGAAAGTTACATATCTCAACTACGCATCAATCCATAGCATCGAATCTCTATTGTTATAGGAATGATGGACGACCTGGCCCCAACTGTGTAGTCATTTGTCTTTATATATTTCTTCCATATTGATGCAGTACCCAGTCTGATAGCATACACTTTCTTCTCTACTTAGTCCTATTTTGCAACTTCAATGTCGGTAGTTCGTACCCTCTACCAATCGTATAGACACATATCCCTGTTTAGCTACATTTTCATGTTTAACCTAAATTGATGCTCGTAACATTGGCGCAGAAACAAAGGAAAGGTAACCACAATCAAAGCGTATGGATTTGCAAATGTCGTCTAGCTTTCAGGACCCAGTTGCTGCCGTAAACCGTAGATATAATGGTGGTATTATAAACTAACCAATGTTATCACACCTGCCGTCCGATATTTCGAATATCCTAGTTCAAGCATATGCACATGAAGTGTAAAGTGATTTTTGCCGATTATGTACAAGGAACCGAACTGAATAAACTCACTAAAAACTTAAAACCATTATTTCATTGTGAATTCCTCCCTAGGGAACGCAGTTTATAGTTCGACTAGATTAAGCAAATTAACAGAACAGTTGGTCCCCCATTCTATTTTCTGACTTGTCTCATAAACTTTGTACTCGAGGCAAATGAATAATTTGGGCTATCTACCCCACCACATTGCACATTTATGGAGATGATTTATATTGTCACTGTCTTGCATTTACACTCAGAAATGCAGAACAACATCATCGCTTGCGTGATTGTTGTGTATCTATGCCTGGCTGTCTCCACATTGTTGGGAACATTTGCCACTTTGTTTCGGAATGTGCCTGCTGCCATGGTAACCGGAGTGCTTCATGTAACCTCAGGTAAGCAACGTTCTGCTCCATCTTTTGTAGAGACAAAGTACCCAATATGCGCATAAACGTATGGTTATTGCGAACTTCTCGTTCTTGGTTTATATCTGTGTGGACTTTCGTCAAAGTATTCAGTTAAGCATACCAACAAAGCTCCGGTCCCCAGAGAAAAGTAGTTGCCAGACAGAAGCACTTTTCTTTGACTGCTTGCTTTTATTACTGTACAATGTGTATTTTATTAGTTACTATCTCACCACCTCAGCTAACATTAACATCATTCTTGTCTGGACAAGTGAAACTGGGTCATAGTCAAATGATCCAATTTACGTGAAGCAACTCTTTCCCGACGAAATTTTCAGTAAAATCGTTAGCGCCAAAGCATCGCACGATTTAATTCCGGCAAATTTCTCTGCATATTGTCAAGTGCGTCCCACTGAGGGCAATCTTATCCATGAGCAACTCGGCGCAACACAAGCTGGTTAAATGGCTAGTGACAGTACTGCAACCATTTAGGATGTCAATGGTCAAGTGCAGCTTAAAAGACGAATTCGAACTAGTGGAACTGTTGGATGGTATCCAGCTAACTGGAAAGTCTATGGATATAGTCACACTACTCACGAACGTACCATTGAAAGAGACTATCCAGATCATATGCAACCATGTGACTGACATCCAATTATAACTAGATCTTTCCGTGTCCGAAATAGAACGGCTCCTGTTGCTATGAGCATCGAATGCAACCTTTCATTTTCAATAGCAAGGGTTTCGGTAGGTGGATGGTGTTGCAATTGGTAGTCCACTAGGACCGCTCTTAGCGGATATTTTCATGGCTCAACTTGGAAATGAAGCCAATGATGAACTCCTTCAATCCGTGCTGTTCCGCCGATACGTGGACGATATGTTGATCATTTGTGATCAAGAGGAGCAACTAACGCAACTGAACACCAGATTACGTAACCTACAACAGGGTGACAATAGAACGAGAGCAGAATAATAGCGTGCCGTTTCTTGACTTACTGATCGAACGCAGAACTGATGGATCGGTACGTAAATCATATACCCTAAGCCGACGTGGAAGGGACAGTGTCTGAATTTCCATAGATTTGTACCCAATTGCTATAAACAGGGACTGGTGCAGACCCTGTTTGCCAGAGCAGGAAAAATCACGTCAGACACACTAGATGAAGAGTTGCGATTCCTCACCAACCCCCTAGAAGAAAACTGGTATTCAAATTATTTCATCGCTCCCTTCAGTAAGAAGATAGAGAAAGAGAAGGTGCCCACCGTGCAAAGCTTACAGTTACAATGTTGCTGCCGTTTAATGGAGATGACGTAAGCCAGCTATTTCAACGGCATTTGAAATCCGCGGTTACACGAGTGTACCCCGCGGCGCAACCCGTATTGATATACACAACGACGCGCATTCTCACACCTACGGTTAAATCGCGGCTACTTCAGTCCAGCCATTCACACATCGTTTACAAATTTACATGTAATTGCAAGGCCACTTACATTGGCATGACAATGCGCTAGTTGCGGGTGAGAATCGCAGAACCTATCCCAGCGTGAGTCAGGTATCAGGTTTCGAAACTATAGTCCTGTCCACCACCCCAGGTGCGCAGCCAAGGTAGGCAAACGGTCAACCTTACAAGACGCCTGTATCATCAATCGCCCGCCATCTGCTGACAGACAAATGTTACATTGACCCCACGCGTATGTTCATTGTGCTCTACGCATCAAACAACACTCATATGCTGCGGTAGGCTAAGGTGGTCGCGATCCAACAGCTCGATCCTAGTTTGCGTGTGCAGTAGGACGCGTTCATAATACTGGCTCTATCCTGGTAGTAGGCGGATGTATTGACTAGGATGTGGGTGCACGTGTGTGTGTACGCATGTATGTTGGTAAATTTGCTATCTCAACTGTATTTACTCTTCCTGCTGCTATGAATGTTCACAAGTTCTATAATACGCAATTGAAAATATGCAGGGAAATTGCTCAGAAATTAAATCATGCTGTGCTTTGGTGTTAAATATTTTAATGAAGGTACAATTTATCTCATAAAATCAACATATCGCACAAGTACCAAAGATTTGAGTGCCCTGGCAATAGCTATATTCATATAATCTTGAAAATCCAGAGTCACTTACAAGTCACGAACGTTGGACTTTTAATGTGCACCGGTTAACCGTGATGATCGTTACCGATGAAGGAACTTGACTAGCCTAATTTTGGTAGATTAAACAGTCATCTAAATGTGTTTGGTTATCATGCCTCATCCAACTTATAGCTATAATGATTGAAACACTGATAAGGAATGAGTCCAACTCAGGCGCAGCCTATTTTACGATTTAACAAGGCGCATATCGCGCACCAAATGATCTTAAACGGCTTATTGCACTACAGTACAAGACAGTCAAGCGAATGGTCTGATATGTGTGCGCGTTTGTGTAGATAGCCCATTGATTTGGTACACAGGTCAGCTGCATCAGTTTACGTACATATTGGAGCACATTGTGAAAGGTGCAGCACTGGTTTTGCCAACCGCTTCAATATAGTAAAGTAGTCGGAAACTAAACTAGCCAAGTAAATTGGCTGAAATGCCAATGAATCCTGAAATATGGAAATCATAATTTGTGATTTTTCCCTAGACCTCTATTACCATGAGGCAACTGTGTAGTGAGGATTGAACAAGCGGAATCGAACGTACGCTTGAACGAAAAATCAACAGTGCAGTCCCTCTGACATTATTTTCGAAAAGGGAGTAGGCAGAGTGTTTACATGTCCAGAAGTCTCGAGGGGGAATTCAACCATTTGCCACGACACTATACCCCTTTCGTTAATCGAGTGACCTCACATACTCTAAAACGGCTGAACATCCTCAGGCATTGGCAAACAGTATTCGTGCGCCTAACTGCATAAACCGTCCTTTTTCCAAATATCACCATGTTTGAAAGCAGGATATGTACCATTTGAATCGTTTCGAACCTGTTGACTGTCACAGTGAGTTTGATGGACTACAGACAGTGCGAGATCTATGGTCAGCTGAATACTAAGGTCAGGGATTGGAGAGTGTTAGTGTTCCATCCGTTTGTATTTTGGATGCAAATAAGGATGAGCTTTTATAAGATTCTTGGTGTTAAAAGCCATTTTACTGACATTTTCATTTGGACAACAACTTATTACACAAAATATTCTAGTTAACGAGCTCACTATATGGTTGTTTTAATGAACGATTTTGAATCTGTGTAAGAGCGATAGGTTTCCGTTTTCCGTCGTAATTTCTAATCGTTGACTGTGGAAGCGCAGCCCATTTTGCTAATTATGTGCTATGCAGACATATGCACAAATATCTTCACGCTGGTACCCATTCATTCACCAAAAGGTCCGCTTTTACCATTTCTCACCCATGGCAACGGAGCACGTAGTTGCTTCCACACTGAATTGTGTTCCCTTATTTATATTCATGCTGAACCATTTCAAATGCAGAAGTATTTTAAGATTACACAATATAATTTTTTGTTGGAGGAAATGGCGTCAAACGTTTTTAAATTTGAATTTGAATTTTCGCGCTACAGGCTGATAGAATACTAACTTAAACAGTGTATTTAATGCAAATAAACCATGAAATATAGTGATCATCTTGGTGTTGAAGTAGAAAGCCTCAATGGATCATTGAAAATGACTGGTTGCGTGTGTTAGCTCATCACCGGACGATCGGAATTGCGCTGCTAAAGCGCACTGAATGAAGGATTCGCAATTATAGCACATTTCCAGCTGCATTATGGTATGTAGTACTTGACTGGTTGCAGACAATATGCCTCGAAGTTGATATTTACAGTGTAGGGTATTCAGTGTTACTCCATCCAAACACTAACACCCCACGACAGGCTTCATCCTTGATTGGCCTCATTAGGTTAAGACATTCACAGCCGGGAATGGAACTTGGGGTCTAATTGTTAACGGCTAATGCCTTGATCACTAGGCTGTTGAGATCTTTGAGATACCACCACATTCTATCTTCACCTAACAAGTCCAAAGGTAGAAGAAGATGCTTGTGAGGTCTTAGCGGTAGGAGGGAACGACACCAAAACCCCGTCACCTATGGGTTACTTGTCTTCGAACCAACTACAAGGCATGTGCTCCAAACCATATGTTGGCAACAAATTCGTTTTCTATTTAAGCGACAAGTAGGTATATCAGTTCAAGACAAAACAATGTGGATGGCAAACCAATATTCTAGAAGGGAAGACCCAACATATCTGCTCAGTACGGAAACAGTCGAATCTGTATAATTTACACGGTATCGGTATAAGTGTGTACCAACATATACCAAAGACCAGAGTGGGCAAGTGGAATCACACAAGCGCTTATACTGGATCACAAAAATATGCAATGGCGAGGTCACTGTGCAATGCACAAGGGACCTATTAAGTGGCCACGACGGACATTGTTTCGGGACAAAAAGTAGATATGCGGTAATCAGTGGGGGAGGCGGGCAAACTTGGTTCGCTATCCACGACACAGGTTGGTACGAAATCCATGGCAACCGACGGAGCCAGTTCATCATCGTGGCACGGGGTGCCACGGGGCGGGCATGAACGTGGCTACAACCTGACAAAGGAGACCGCGAGCATAGTTGAATGTGTCCAGAGAGGTGACGGCAATTAGCACAGCAATTCACAGCCGCAAGTGAGCGCAAGTGGTCTATAGTTACGTTAACTATTCTGTTCCTAGTGTGATGCACTACTAACGAGTTGTATGAGGAAACGAGCAGGTGCGATGAATTCAGCAAATAATGGATCACCACGGACGACGGGCACGTAGTGCACAATTCAACCAGCCATGGAAACGGATGAGGCTGGATTTTTGGGCCTATACCACACCGACACGACAAGCGTAGCGTCAAATGACACCACGAATGAAGTGCGCAAATAAGTCCTAGTGTTCCATATTAAAAATGTTATACCATGTACACGTTCGTTCTCCAATACACTACTGGTTCGCACCGT